ACTTAAGGCTGCGAGATATGCCTCCTTCGTGAGATCCGTGACGAGTTCTAAGTGGACAGCCTTCACTGCTAAACAAACAAAAATACAAATGTAAGATTTTATTAAGGTACTGTCTCTACCCTTACGATTGACTATCAGCACAGGCCCGCAATAATCTACTCCGGTGCTCAAAAATGGGAATTCTAAGTGAGTCCTATCGGTAGGTAAGTCACCCATAGCAGGCTGCACGAAAGTTGCTTTAAATCTATTACAACGTATACAACCATGAACAATAGCCTTCGCTAGATTTCTACCACCTAAACAGTTCCTTCCGAAAGCAGTTGAGGGCGTGTATTAAGCATTTGTGTTTCATTTCAAATATGATTTTGGTTAAATGATGCTTGCTACATATTATAATAGGGTGCTTAATATCATAAGTGTAGCTCGAATTGCTAAGACGACCTCCCACACGTATAACACTGCTATTATCCATGAAAGGTGAGAGGGATAATAGTCTATTTTTCTTTGGTAGGGAATTACCCGACTTCAGAATAGCATATTCTTTAGGAAACATTTCCATTTGAGCTATACGTATTAGTATTGATTTCGAAGAATTTAATTCTGAACATGAAAAATAATTGGTGTTATGAATATTACTTCTTCTACAATTGTTAATGAACCTTTGTATATAAGCTATTATTCTAATTAATTTTGTGAAATTGGATGATTTATTGATTATGTTTGAAATGACATTGTCTGTTTGCGTATTTATGTCTGTATGTAAGGATATTTTTGGAAGTTAATTTTTTTGAATGGATGGAATTTTTGGAAACTTGATTGGGTCATATTGTAGAAAATCGGGCCCGAACCACCACAAAGAGGAAATCCTGAGGAAATCAGCCTTTATCCCGCGCGAAACTAGGTCCACTGGATTATCTTTGGACGGTACGTACGACGAACAAAATGCTTTAGTCGACTCGGAGTCGATAGCCATCCCAGGACTATTGTCGAATCTGACCAGAAATAGCAACAATGTATAGGTATAGTAAGTGACTCCAGTACCTTTCTAAAGAGTCTCGTACCTAACAAAGCACCACAAAGCTCCAAACGTGGTACTGTGGTTGGTTTGAGAGGAGCCACCTTATTTTTAGATGTCAAAAGGCGAACGCACACAGATCCATCTTGTCCAATTGATCTGATGTAGACACACGCTCCATATGCACTTTCTGAAGCATCTGTGAATACGTGGACTTTCATTTTAGTAGGGGTTGTAATATGGCATATCCAACGAGGTATTTCAAGGGAGATTAAAGAAGAAATTGATTGCATGGCATCTTTAAAATGTTTTTTTATGTCCGTACCAACTTCTTCGTCCCAGTTACTTTTATTAATCCATAATTGTTGAAGCAATACTTTAACAAGTAATATGCAAGGTCCTACTAACCCGAATGGATCAAACACTTGGCTAATAAGAGACAAGATGCTGCGTTTAGTGATTCTTATATCGCTGTTTATTGAAATAATACTAGTTTTTACGGAATTTATCGCATATATTTAACTTTTTAAAATACCCGACGTTTCGAACGCTTTACAGCACCCCATGGTCACGGGCGGGACTTAGATGTTCAACGTCCATATGTCATAGTTAACCGCGGTTACCATAGATTAAAATTTAACTTTTATTCCGATCTGTACAGTATGAACTTATGGTATCTTGAAGTCTTGCAGTTGTATGCTTGGGTTGGGATTTAATTTTATTTATTATCGGATCCCAAACAGATGGTAGCACCCAGCCATCTTCTCTATTGAAATTAGAATGTTTTTTGATTTCAATAACCTCGCGAATCATCCTTGGAAGGAATCGGTGTTCTTTAGCGAGGATTTGCGGTCTATCAAATCTGATGTAGTGACGGGGATGATCCTGTACGTGTTCACAGACTGCAGACTTCCATCCCAACCCAAGCATACAACTGCAAGACTTCAAAATACCATAAGTTCATACTGTACAGATCGGAACAAAAGTTAAATTTTAATCTATGGTAACTGCGGTTAACTATGACATATGGACGTTGAACATCTCAGTCCCGCCCGTGATCATGAGTGCTGTAAAGCGTTCGAAACGTCGGGTATTTTAAAAAGTTAAATATACGCGATAAATTCCGTAAAAACTTGATTAAAACTACTTTACGGATTTTATCGCGTTTATTTTTACTTTTTATTTACTTTTATTTTTAATTCCCGACGTTTCGGGCGCTTTCCAGCACCCGTGGTCATGGGGGACTGAGATGACTGACGTCCCGATGTCATTGTTAAACCCGGAGTATCTTCAGCTTTTTTAATTATTATTTATGGTCCGATCTATGCAAAATGAACTGACTATGACTGAGATCTTGCAGTGGTATGCTTGGGTTTAGTTTTAATTTTATTGATTATAGGATCCCAAGCAGGTGGTAGTACCCAGCCTCCTTCTCTATTGAAATTAGGATGTTTTTTAATTTCAATAGCCTCACGCACAGATAACTATATACTAGTCAGAGACAGATAGGACAGTTCTTTAGTTGACGGTTAGTTCCAATAAATTCGCAAAGCGCTAGTGTCGTATAGTGATGTAAACTAGGTCTAATATTCTAGTACCGATATCGATAGTTTAGGGATGTACAGGTAAAAGATCGATATGTTTGGACCACTTTCTTATTTTAAAATACTTATTTACAAAATTGAAGATTAGAATAAAACAACATCTCAAATTTTATTATTTTTATTTTTCAATCTTTGGGATTTAAATTTATTAAAAGCCATTTGTTGGGGTGCACACATTTGTTTAACAAGTTTTTCTTGCACACCCCCTTTCAAAATTTTATTAAAAATATTACACCAATTACGGATATGAATTCGTAAAATTAAACTAAGGAATGTTTTTGTCACGATTTCTTTGTGATTTTCACACCCTAGCCAACTAAAATCATACTTTTGAAGTATTAATTGTTTTAAAAGCTTTTTCAAGCATTTTTTGTGGGCGTTGTTATTTAAATAATCATGTGTAAGGCCAGAGATATCCCTGTACAAAAATAGAAAGTTTTTTGATGGGTAATTTAAATTACTCTTTTTTAAAAGATTGTACTCTCGTTGCTCGATCCATTTATGGAATACAGCTTTATTTTTTTCAATGTATGTATCAGAGCATTTCTTACAATCAATTTTTTTTGTCAATCTTCTGCATATGTAGCCTGCTGTATATGCAGAAGAGTGCACGCGCAATCTTTCATTTGTTGCATTTATGGCTTGGTTGCTGCTGCCACTCTTGTTATAACTTTTTTTGACCAATGTTATGGGTGGAACATTTTCTTTATCCTCATCAGTTACTGTCGCATTTTGATTGTAGTTCGATATTAGTTTAATAAAATCTACCACCGTGTCTCCTCCTATCATCCTCACAATTTGCATAAATTGAATGTGGACCCATAACATTGGACATTAACAAGGATTTGAAAGAATTTTTAAAAGTGTTTGCATCAGGATTGATGTTCCTATAGTTGATTGCTCTTATTCTGCCAAAAAAATTTTCTAAAGAGTCCTGATTAATATTTCTGGGATATAAATAAAGTATTCCATATTTTTCGAACAACAATTTAGATATTCTTTCAAAACTTTAAAATGATGTAATCCATCCATCAAGAGAAGGAACTCTGACTGTAAATTTTATTATTTTTTTCGCGCTCTCTTACTTTTTTCTTCAATAAATCTAATATTTTTCAATATATCTTTCGTTTCTTGCCAAAAATTAAAATGCTTGCTGTTTGGTTTTATAGGCCCTCGTAATTTTCCCTTGACAGTACTCCCCCCGAGACCCATTTACACTATCAAAAAAGTTTGTCGATGAAATCAACAGCTTCCCCGGTAGTGGCCATTGTCGTGCTGACATTTTCGCCCATCATAGTAGTTTCTGAAATATTACATAGATATATTAAAGAGATGCATGACAAGTATTATTAAGATAGTTTATATTAATAATAAAGTTTTTAAAAACTTACTAAATAATGCAGTGTATTTAAGCATTGCACTAGTTGTTTCACTCAAAGCTTGGGCAGCTACGCTAACCTTCATTTTTTTTATTCGTTCTGCATAAATGTGGTGATCTGTCAACTTTTTGTTCATTCTTGTATGACCTAATTGGCAATCAGCATTGTACACAGTTAATATATCGTTCCAAGTGGCAATTATTCCTTTAAATAACATATCTTTGGTGAGTAGATTGTTTCGCAGGCTTTTGAGCAAATGTGGTGGATCATACACAATATTTAACTTTTGACTTGATATCTCAACAGTTCCATCTGTAAAGAAAACATTCTATTTTGATTGTTGGAATCTAAACAATGGCATTGAACAAAGTTTGTAAAGGTGGAAATACATAGACAGCTCAATAATATAGAAATCAAATTTGTCAAAGTGGCTGTCAAAGTAGCTTTTTGGCTATTACATCTTGGAATTGCACAATTGTAAGGCTGCCGCAATAAATAAATAAATAGAGTTCATTTACTTACCATTATATTTTCCATTTAAATTTCTTCTGTGTGTGGTGTCCTTTTTTAACATGGTTATAGCCATTCTAAATGTAGTTCCTTGATCACATACAAGGGCTAAAGGAATCAAGTCCGACTGTGAGACTTCAGTGATGATGTCTTTAAAAATCCGTACAACTACAGCAGCAGCAGTTGACATAGTAGACAATAGGCTGTCGCCAGTTTGAACACACACCTTTCAGCATAAAAACTAAGGCATGATCGCATAATTTAAATTCTTTTTCATTTCCAAAATCTTTAAAACCTATGATTTCATCTTGTGACTCGTCATAAGTGAGATGAGATGTGAGAGCCACCTCATCAAACAAAACAGAGTATAATTTCTTCTTCGTGTCCCATTTTTTAACTTTGTGCTTTAATAGCTCAAAAATATTATCATTTAAGCCCACATTAAATTTGATGTTTTCAGCAAGGCGGTTCAATGTTCTTTTAGTAGGCAAATTAAAAATTTTTTTGCAAAAGTCTGTATCCTTTGGGGCTTTCCTTCATTAGGGACAGTGACAAGAGCTTTTCATTTGTAGTGTACCTCATTGCTTTCTTCTTTTTACTTGCCATTTTCAACTGCATTAGAAGAAAATCTTGTGCCTGTTGCGTCATTTTGCCAAAACTTTTATTAAATAATAGGTTATGGCTTAGAATTTTAGCAGCATCAAATCTTTCTGAAAATGGCTTTTCAAGCTTATTTTCTTTGACAGCAATATTTTTCATTCTTCTTATGAAGCATCTGCAATCTTTGGTCAGTTTATTGGCTGTAAAAAGATAATAAAAAATTATATTATTTAGTTCATCAATTGATATTATAGGCTTTTAGAAAGTAATTAGTTAAGCTATCTACATACATATAATAAAAATGTAAATTGCAGGTGCCTGAACATAGTATATTCCAATGATAAATTTTTTTGATAGGGACTAAAAATAAGTAAATAAATTTCTATCAACTATTTTCAAATTAATTATTCTTTTGTGAGTAACATTTAGTCTTATGTTATGAAAATCAGTTTATTCTATCAAGTTATGATTAGTACTTTGAAGTATAGGTATGAATATGTTTAAAGGTGTTGATTCGTTAAGTGCATTTCAACCTTATCTTAGAAATTGTAATTAATTAATATGAATGAATGTTCTATAATGAAATCCTTATAGCTAAAACTAAGTAAACAAAAAATAACATGTTTTCTCACAAATATTATCATAATACCATCATAATAAATAATATGAAAAACTATAACAGTTCACTAGTGTTATCAATAGATGGTGTTGTGTGTGTGCAAATGTAATACAAAAAGGTGTGCTCTAATTGTCTTCATAATTATTGCTGATTGTAACATTAATCATAGGTGGAATGACTCATACGGTAATAAAAATGTTTTTTGAAGTTCTTTATGTATTTCGTAAAATTTTGATGCCGAGCTAGAATGTCGATCAAATCAAAGATTTAAGTTGTCGCTCTTTTTAAAATAATGTCTATCATAAGAACAAAAATTAAGATGTTCTAATTCAATTAAAAAGTAACCACCATATTTCTGAGTGTTTATTGTAACGTTTATTGTAATGAAACACCTATGATAATAAACAACACGACTAGCAGGAGCAGATATAAAGTTGTCATTACTTTATGACCAAAAGTTGTCAAAAAAAACTAGAACTACTCTTCTTCGTCATCATCATCAGCCTGTAAAAGTCTACTGCAAAACATGCACTTCTCCCAATGTGAGGGTGATTTGCCATATATCTCACAATTGGTAGGAAGATGCCTGTAGATAAACTACTAACAAAGATTCTATGCGATAGCTAGTTAGTGCATATTATTCTATAACTAGCTCTTATGAGGTATGTGTTACAAAATACTTTACCTCCACACTTAATTCTTTTTGGTGAATTTCTTTTTTGATTTTGCTCAACATTGCGAATCACATCTGAAATTAGTAAAAAAAATGTCATATAATAGTCAATTTTATTGTCTGTCTTAAATTTATTTGCAACTGCTGATTATGAGGTGCCTGGTTTTATGGGTGAGATTATAAAAATATGTTAAAAATGAAATAAAAGATATAAAAATACCTCTTGATTCTGCCTTTGATGATGCAATAGAGAGGTTTGGCACAATTTCTACAGGTTTCGTTATTTGTAGTGTGTCAGTAACACATGTGTGTCCTAAAAACAGAATGAAATCATCAAGAAAAAATAAGATAGACATTTTAAAGATCAAAAGCCGTCACATAAGCTTTCTTCTGCAACTTTGTGTGGATTATATAGGCAAACTCAACTTGGTTTCTAAAACTCATTGTAAAAAAAAAACCCACACCTCCTGTTACCATTATGTTCCTAAAAATATATATCTGCATAGCCAAGTTAAATTGCGTGAGGTTTACATGAGACTACAGAACATGAGGTATTCTTACTATTAATAAACATATAAAATTAAATACATAGTTATTATTGTTACCTACCATCAGTTTTAGAATTTGTAGGTTCTTCAATTGGTGGCCCCTTTTCAACATTACATTCTAAAACATAATTATGATCACTAATGTGGTCTTGTGCTGAAAAAAAAATTAATTTAGCTAAGAATATACTTTAACAGTGGGAAATTAGTTATTAAGTACTCAAAGCGGGTTGGCTAAAGAATCCGGTACTTGATTTTGATAATGTTTTTAGTCTAGGAGGCTTGTTAGGGTTAAGCTTGAACCCATTACACTGTTTTTAGATGGCGGAAATGTGTTTTGAATTAATTAAGATAAAAACAAATTTCACTAAAAATTGTGTGATAACGAAAAGCAAATATGTCAATTTGTTCTCGTATTATGAGGTAGATGTCTGTTACTTGATTTTTAATGTTGTAATATTATTCATAAACTATACATTTCCGCAACGGGGGAAGGGTAGGGAGTGCTTTCTACGAGTCTCCCCCTCCCCTCCCAATACTACGGCCACTGCAGAAGTAACTTTTTTGTCAATATTCCTGTATAAAAAGTGAGGTTATAAATTTACAAAAAAACATTACTCATAAACTACACATTTCCGCAACGGGAGAAGGGTAGGGGCGGTTTCCCATGGCCCCTCCCCTCCCCCCTCCCAACACCGTACGCGAGTACCGAATGTCTATAGTTTAACCCTCAAAGCAATAGTTATAAGAAATGTTAGTCTTAAAAAGACAGAAATTACTTCTATATAAAAATAATGTTATTCACACTCACAGTTGATTATGGTATTAGTAGTGAAATCATTTGAATCTTCTAGGACAGCTATTGGTAAACCATAGTTGTGATCACTCAGAGCGTGGGCAGCTAGAAAAAAATACACAAAGTTAGTAAAGTTTATTCGGCTTATCAACTAACAGCACATTAAAACATTGTAATTGATATGTCAGTAACACAAATATCTATTACTTAAAATCAACTTACTTGAAGAGTCCAAGGGAATACCGTGCATCATTTCCCTTGCAGTAAATAAGCAGGGATAGCCATGCGCAAGACGGTTACCCACACCGTCGAACTGCTGTCTGTCGAAGTGCTTTTGGCACACATATCTATTTAACAATTGTTCCTTAGACAAACCGCTGAGCTTAATATTAACAGGCACCAAGAAAGACAACCACAATTCCCGTAATTTATCGTCCTTTGGAAAGTTAAAAAGGCGATGAGTTTTGTTGTTGGCATTGCAACCTACAACACAACACTTCCGCAATTTCGACATCGTGTAGCGTTCTACGTCAGACACACTCACAATCACTGATTGGGTAAGGAAGCAGGTGGACTTTGAGATCTCGACTCAAGGTATAAACCGAGGAGAAAGCAAAATATACCGGCAGACTTCAACTCACACAATACAATTGACTGTTAGGATTTGTTTGACTGACATTGACATTGGTAACAACAAGATGGCGCAAACAAGTAAATGCGACACTAGCGCATACTAAATGGAATGGAACTAAAGCTGTCCTGGGCCTGGCCTCACGTATCATCCTTGGTAGGAATCGGTGTTCTTGCGCGAGGATTTGTGGTCTATCAAATCTGATGTAATGGTTGGGTCCGTCCAGGATATGATCACAAACTGCAGACTTCCCGGAACGTTGATGCTTCACATCAACTATATGTTCTTTTACGCGGATCCTAATTGCTTATTTATATTAATATAGCTGATGTGAAGCATCAACGTTCCGGGAAGTCTGCAGTTTGTGATCATATCCTAGACGGACCCAACCATTACATCAGATTTGATAGACCACAAATCCTCGCGAAAGAACACCGATTCCTACCAAGGATGATACGTGAGGCTATTGAAATTAAAAAACATCCTAATTTCAATAGAGAAGGAGGCTGGGTACTACCACCTGCTTGGGATCCTATAATCAATAAAATTAAGACTAAACCCAAGCATACCACTGCAAGACCTCAGGACATAGTCAGTTCATTTTGCATAGATCGGACCATAAACATTAATTAAAAAAGCTGAAGGTACTCCGGGTTTAACAATGATATCGGGACGTCAGTCATCTCAGTCCCCCGTGATCATGGGTGCTGGAAAGCGCCCAAAACGTCGGGAATTAAAAATAAAAGTAAATAAAAGTAAAAATAAACGCGATAAAATCCGTAAAGTAGTTTTAATCATGTATAGTGTTCGCGTAAATATAAGAAATCATTCCGTAAAAACTAGTATTATTTCAATGTGTATTGTTCGCTGTTTATATTAATGATGTAAAAAAGATTGTCTGACTCTGTACGCCAATATAAACCTAAAGTTTTGCTCAACGAATGATCAAGATTTAGAGTCTTCTCTGAGTCGCCTTTAATGGAAGAAATTGATTCCAAAATTTCACCGAAATTTGACTGCCATTTACGTAGATTAAACTTCGCAGATTCTAAGGTTTTAATGACACCTCTGCAAGTCTTTATTACGGATTCTACAGATGAGCCACTGTACAAAAAATCATCAACGTAAAAATTATGCTTGATAGCATTTTGAACATTGATATCTGGGGAAGGGAAGTTAAGCATTTTGTGGCTAAATAAGGTCCCGATGCAGTCCCATATGTAATTGTATTAAGAGTATACGTCTTTAGTGGTTCTGAGGGGTCAAACCTAAAGACGATTTGCTGGAGTGAGCGTTGAGAAGGCTCGACTAAGACAGCACGATACATTTTCTCTGTCAGCTGTAACAACATATTTATGCTCTCTAAAGCGAAGCAAGATGGACATAAGATCATCTTGTACGGTTGGGCATACCATTTGGATAGAGTTGAAAGATTTACCTGAGGTGCTCGAAGCCGAAGCGTCGAAGACTACGCGTAATTTCGTAGTTGTGCTTGACTCATGTACGACACCATGATGAGGTAAGAAATAAGAAGGTTGTGTGAACACTGTTTTTATTTTGTTTTCAGTCATATGACCCAACTCAATGTACTCTTTCATGAATTCTAAATATTGTTCTTTAAAATTTAAATCTTCTCAAGTCTTCGTTCCAATCACAAAAAACGGTTTTTTGCCATAGTGTACGGTGTACTTAGTCACCAAGCACATTGGGTGAATCTCTCAACGGTATTTTTACAATAAATTGACCGCTTTTGCATCTTCTTGTATTTTCCTCAAAGCTCTTCTCACATAGTCGCTCTTCGGAAGACATGTGACACTTCGCAGGTACAGAATCCAGTTCCCAGAAGCGAGTAATAAAAGATTGATCTGTTTGAGTGTGAGTAAAATGACAGATAAAAGATGTTGCCTGAGTAGGCTGAGGAATACAGCCAGATATGATCCAACCAAGTTTTGATTCATGTAGCCTTGGCTGGTTTTTTCCTAAGCTAATATGGGTGGAACCCAAAACATCCCAGAAGACCTCTGCTCCAACTAGGATGTCAATTGCCGAAGGAACTTTGTAGGAAGGATCCGCTAAATGCATTCCTTTCGGTATATGAATATTATGTATATAACATGATGGTAACGAATGAGAGATCTGTGGTAAAACGTGACAATTTCTGTTGGACATAAAGCTACCACAACACGATTGAATAGTAAGATCACATGACTCTGACGTACTAGAAGACTAGTTATTAATACCTGAGACTGCTGCCTAACACAAGCTCTGCGTTATAAAGTTCGCAGTGCTTCCATTGTCAAGAAGCAAAAGAGCCGTATGTAGGTGACCACGAATATCCTTCACCTTCACTAGTGCTGTGGACAGCAAGACATGGCCTTGATTAGTATTTATGTTTGCTAAAACAATGTCTGTGGAAAGGGCAACAGTTTTCTCAAAGGCAGAAGATGATACATTTTCTACGTCAGGTTCCTTATGTAGCAAGGTATTATGCTTAATATTACAATGAGATAAACGGCAACCTTTTTGGAAATGACTTGGGCGCAAACAGTTAAGGCATACATGAGCAGCTGTAGCTTGTTTTATACGTGAATCAACGCTTAAGCTTCTAGAAGTGGGACATAAGTATAAATAATGTTTATCACTACACATGGGACAGCTAATCTCATTCATTGCATTTTTTACTGTTTGTGTGATCTGTAGTAGTAATGAAGCTCTTAGACTTAGGCGGTTAAAGTATTTTTTGTTTTTATATATTATGTTTTTTATTATTAAACAATGTTTCAAGTAAGTCTGCTCTATTGTTTAAAAATTTAATAAAATTGTTGTAATGTTGGAGAACCGGTAAGAATATTACGATACTCCTCACATTCGCGACACGATATACCATCTAACTTGCGAGACATCATAAAAATAATAAGCGTATCCCAATGGTCGGTGGGCTCACCCAGAGTAGCAAGGGCCCTCAAGTTTTTGTTGGTGACATCAATCATGTTTCTTAAACACACGCTAGATTCTTTTTGTAAAGGCTCAAATTCGAAAAGGGCTTGTACGTGGTTATTTATGAGCAGTCGTTAATTATCATACCTGTCTGATAGAAGTTGCCATGCAATGGCATAGTTATCAGATCTAAGTTCTAAACTGTGCACAATTAAAGCTGCACTACCTTTTAAAGCAGCGCGCAAATAATGTAATTTGTTTATATCACTCAAGCTATTGTTATTGTGTATAAGTGAAAGATACGTATCTCGAAATGCAAGCCAGCGCTGATAGTCGCCGTCAAAGTGCGGCAGGTCGATTTTGGGCAACCGCACAAAGTCATGTCTGCAACTAGTGGAACCCTGACTTGTCACGAACTCTTCACCGGGTCCCGAAGGTGGCTGCAGCGTAGGGTTGAGCAAGGTACGCGCCAGCGACACGGCGCCATAATATTGTGTCTCGAATTGCTCGCGCTCAGCAAACTGATCCTCCTGTTGTTCGGACTGTAGCTCGATGTTAGCCTGTAATGCATCGTAATCACTATATATCGCATCAATTCGACTTAAACGACACTCCAATTCAGATGCCTGCAACTCACTTAATTTCGCACAGCTTTTGTACACATTCAAAACGTTCACATATTGAGTCAGCTTTGCTTTAAAGGTGGCACGTTTTTTCACTAGCTCCTTTAGTTTTGCATCAGCCATGATTACTAGACTAAATTTACAAACAAAGAATTCAGAAAATGAACAGTAATTCACAAGAAACAACGTAATTCTACATAAACATAATACATAAACACTCACGCCTGTTACCCAGAGGGGTAAGCAGAGACTACGGACTTCCATTTGGCACGATCCTGACATACCTCTTTCGCCTCCTTTACATCCATATATCTACGCATACATGCTCGTCGGTTAAGGGTACTTCTAACGTGGCCCCTTTTCAAAATATCGCCAATTTGGTCGATAAACTTTTTTCTAGAGCGTCCCTTCCCGACTCGGCCGTTCACATCTGGCATATAAATTTGCTTTGTCACTCTTTCCTCATTCATTCTTTCTACATGACCAAAACCACCGCAGCATTCCTTTCTTAATCCTGGTCACAATATCATCTTGCATACCACATTTATCTCTTATCACGCAATTTCTCACCCTGTCATTCAGATTCAACCCTAGCATACTCCTTAAAGACCGCATTTCTACAGCATTTATTCTACTTTCGTGCTTCTTCTGCCACACCCAGCTTTCACTACCATACATTAAAGTAGGGACTAACACAGCATTATGAATTACCATACGTGCCTTTTTTGACATATTCTGGTTCTTCATAATAGAGTGTAGTGCCCCATTCACTCTATTCCCTGCATTTACTCATCGTTCTATATCCCTATCATATCTACCATCCCTGCTAAATACACATCCCAAATACACAAACTCATCCACTTGCTCAATTAACTCTCCTTCTATTCTTATTTCACATATCGTTTTGCTTTCTTCTCTTTCAAAAACCATCACTTTCGTCTTACTTGCGTTCACTTTCATTCCCCTTTCTTTTAATTCTCAGTTCATTAATGTAACCATCATTTGCAACTCAGACGCCGATGACGCAAAAATGACTTGATCATCGGCATACAAAAGGCATTTGACGGCTAACTCGCCCATTTTTAACCCACATTTTTCATCTTTCAAAGTTTGCAAACACCTGTCCATAAATAGGTTGAATAGCCAAGGGGAAGCTACACAGCCCTGTCTGACACCTTTTTGGATGCCAAACCAGTCCGAGTAGACCCCATTGATCCTGACACAAGCACTAGAGTCCCTATAAAGAGATGTTAATGCCTGTATCAAACCAGCGCTCAACCCATATGAGTTCAGTATTTGCCATAACACATTCCTGTCCACTCT